AAAGGGTTAAAATGCATACCTTGTTACCAGCTGCTTAAAAGGGGAATGCCCCTGTATAACCTGCACCCCAATTCCAGTCAAGGAAAGTAAAGTAAATCCAAAGATGGCATGCAATTTAAAGTGAGGAAAAGGAAAAGGCGTAGGAGTTCAATGAATTATTCCATGATTCTGAGGCAAAAAAATTATGATCCTAAAATAATCTACTGAGTTATGCTATATAAGAATTTAACATAGTTAATAATCCACACTAAAAAGTAAAATAAAAGCAGGAATTAAAGCATGAAAGAGTAAACTAAATAAAGTACCTGTGAAGGTAATATATTGACAGCTAATTGTTTGCCCAATTCCAAGGCTCTTTTAGATTCGGGGACTCCACCTCCTGTTGAAATAATTATTGGTGTTAGTCTGCGACTCTGTTGTACTACATAAGTTACCAATTCAGTTTTCCTAACTCACACATTATAATTAATCATAGTTCTGCAAAATATCCAGTACACATGTAAAAGCTTATCGAAATGGAAAATTTATATGCCCGTATTCACAAATTCAGTTTGTTTTAAATTATAAGAAAGCACTTTGAAGTATATAAAGATTGTTCAAAGCAACAAAACAGTATGCTATACCCCCAGGGGTTTGACATACCCCATCTTGCTTGGAAATTAAGAATGCAATGCCATTCTAAGCTATCAATGTACTTCCATGACCCAAAGGGATTACAAAAAACAACTCACCGTTGGTCAAGAAAACGAATGGAATTTTCAATGTACCTGCCCACAGGGAGATCAGAGAAGTGTTAAAAGAGAGAGAAAATAAATGTAGAGGACAAGCAGACTGTCCACTAAATGCAAATTAAGACATCCAAACCCGATACAAGGTGCCAATGAGTTAGTCGTAACACCAGTATTAATGTTAAATGGAGTAATTAGAAGCACGGAATTGAGGTCCTGGAATTGGAATTGGAAATTCTGAAACAATATTGTAAGGGATTAAATCCGCACCGGGATATCCTCCTCCCACTGAAGGATTTTGATTGACCTGGACCCCTTCCTAGGACAATCCAGTAGCCTTTACCTCTCAGTGCCCATAAGGATCTCGTCCCACATCGACTGAGAGTCGTCCCCCCCCCCCATATAAGCCTACGCTTCATATGGAGGAGGTACACACTAGCACTTGATCAGTCGATGTGGAACGAGGTCCTCATGGACACTGAGAGGTAAAGGCTACTGGATTGCCCTAGGAAGGGGGTCCAGGTCAGTCAGAATCCTTCGATAGGGGGACGATATCCCGGTGCGGATTTAATCCCTTACAAAAAGGCACCATTTGGTGGACAGGATTGCCTCCCTCCGAAAGGGTTCTGGCTGGCCTAGACCCCTTCCTAGGGCAATCCAATAGCCTTTACCTCTTAGTGCCCATGAGGACCTCGTCCCACATCGACTGAGAGTTGTCTTCCCCCCCGGATATAAGCCTACGCTTCATATGGAGGAGGTACTATCAAGTAACTAATGGGTACCTCCTCCATATGAAGCGTAGGCTTATATGCCAGGGGGGAAAGACGACTCTCAGTCGATGTGGGACGAGGTCCTCATGGGCACTAAGAGGTAAAGGCTACTGGATTGCCGGTCCAGGCCAGCCAAAATCCTTTCGGAGGGAGGCAATCCTGTCCACCAAAAGGCGCCATTTTGTAAGGGATTAAATCCGCACCGGAATATCCTCTCCCACCGAAGGATTCTGACCGACCTGGATCCCTTCCTAGGGCAATCCAATAACTTTTACCTCTCAGTGCCCATGAGGACCTCGTCCCACGTCGATTGAGAGTCGTCTCCCCTTGCATATAAGCTTATGCTTCATATGGAGGAGGTACCAGATCAAGTGGCTAATGGGTACCTCCTCCATATGAAGCATAGGCTTATATACGGCGGGAAAACCGACTCTCAATCGATGTGGGACGAGGTCCTTATGGGCACTGAGAGGTAAAAGTTACTGGATTGCCCAAAGAGGGGTCCAGGTAAGTCAAAATCCTTCCGTGGGGGAGAAGATCCGAACGTGCGATTTAATCCCTTACAAATATCTACGAGATTCCCAATTCCGAAGCCTCGATTTCATACTGTCAAATGCAGTGTATACGCCACAGAAAGATACCACTGAGTAAATCCAATGATTCATATTCGTTGATTCTCTCTCCAGTAAATCAGTCGTTCAATTCAATCACAATGTCTAAGCAAATGAAATTCACTATTAAGCGCAAAAAACTTCAAGCAATTCAATATTCAGTAGGCGCTATAAATATCGATATTTGCGTACCGCAATGATCGTATAATTTCTGAAGAGCATGAGAAGAACCACCGATGGGAGTGTCGCCCCGAAGAAGTACACCGTCGATGTCGAACGCAATGCCAAAGGACGGCCTATTTCGATCCAAGAATCGTTATACATAAACGCAATGGCATCGAATTTGTGCGAACAAAATTGAGGAGGACTTACGGTTCGGAGTGAGAGTGAATCTGCGAGAAGAAGGCACTTGAAGTGGTGGCGGTGGCGGTGGCGGCGGAGGAGGAAGAATATACCAACGAATTAGCTCGCTTCAGATTCTGAGAACAGACCTTTGCGAAGCTTTGGAGGAATCTCATCTTCCTCCTTTTTGGTATTGGAATCGAAAATTGGACTGAGAGAGCGTTTTCACTTTTCGGTTCTCTTCTAAGAATGTGCAAACCGGAAAGTGACTGCGTCACCGCGCGGAGTCGAACGCTGACACCATCTATAAAAAAACTTCACACTTAAAAAATAATAATAACAGTTTAAATTGTTTAGATCTAATGGTTTATATTATGATTAAGTAATTTAATTTTTGAACCTTGATAATTTATTTAAATTTTAATCTTTTTAATCTTTTAATGATAATAACTCATTTAAATATTAATATTTTAACCATAGTCGGGGCTCGACCAGTATCATTATATAAAAGAGTGACAATTGAATTCGATAGAATCCACTTATTAATTTGCTATTTTTTTTATAATATAGTGATTACTATAAATTCTCATCAGACTCTACAAACATTGATTGTTACAAATTTTGGACATCGTACAAATTAGAGAAATTTTGTTGACATACTGAAGTGTCAAATGATAGAGCTTCAATAAAAAATTTTAAAATTATATTACAATAATATTAATTGATCATATTACTTCATATCATTAGATCAAAAAATTATGCCAACTTTTTAATTCTCAATAATATTAATTGAATATTATGAGATAAAATCAAGTAAGTAAAAAGGAGGCTCGAGCTCAAATTGTTCATTCGGTCCTTATACATTAGGCTAGACAATTTGTATGGGAAGCAGATGGCGAGGTGAGGGGGTGGGGCTTTTGTAGATTAGGTTTTGTTGTCAATTGGAGGTGTGAGAGAGAGGGGGGGGATAAGCTGCTGAGGAAGGCAAAGGGGTAAGATTTTCGCAAAGAGCAATGCTATTGAGACATAATTTATAAACATAATTTGAGGACATAATGAGTTGTCACCAATGAGATGGTAATGAATTCATTATTGCTACAATGGAACCTATCATTAAATATGTTTTACTATCATTTCATTGAAGACAACTCATTATGTCCTTCAATTATGTCCCAATAATATTAGTGTTTCGCAAATAAGGTTGTGTTGTGTGAGGATGGATGATAGAGGAAAGTTGTTGGTAAGGTGTTGAGGGTGGCCACCAGTGGTGGTAGAGAAAGAGAGAGAGAAATAATAGTAACGACTTGGAATGAAGAGGGGCTGGGAGTTTAAGGAAGTAGGGTTTTGTGTTGGGACACAAAAACAATGTCGCGTTGAGATTAAAACACACAAAACAAAGTGACGTCATTTTTGATTTTTTTTTTTTAATTCAAGGAAAATACCGATGCAAAATAATAAAACAAATTGAACTTTTTTGCATGTGTTTAATGTCGATGCAAATATCTGACAAATATTTATGTCAAGTCAAAACAAAAAACTCCGAAACAAAAGTCTTCTATGGTAGTGCACCAACTAGTTATAAAATACTATGTGGATTTAGTGGATCTCATTATTTTAATAAATATCAATAGTCACCCTATCCAACAATTACCAAATTAGGATTGTGGGGGGTTTCACTTATTCTACTTGGTGTTCTACTATACGTTACACCCAATATTTACTCAAAATATTGTCCACCGCAAAATAAAATGGGCCTAAAACCACTGGATCACCTCTACTAAGGCAATAATTAAAATTAGACCAGACAATTCTAATCAAACATAAAAAAACAAATTCGTCAGACTCATCATATATATAGATTGACACAAACCCGCTTAAATATGATATGAACTCGCTAGATAAAACTTACACATGACATAAAACAAAATTATAAACAATTATAGATAAATTAGACATGATTGAACATATTTTAACACGACACTATCCATTCATAATGGAATTCATTATTTAGGCCAAAAAAAGGAAAACAAGTGCAGGGCTCCTGATGAGAAATTGGTAAAACTTAGTCAATTGATTATTATATGTGCAGGATGATTTTTCGCACAATAAATGAGATAATAGGTCTCTTCATTGGTAAGCTCGTGTCCGCCTAGAATGTCACTTCGATGAACGCCCTTGAGTGCCCCACTGTGGACGATGATGGAGCTGCGGACAAGGCTTTAAGGAAAAAGGGTTGCAAATAGTGACAGAACCTTCTACAAACGATTAATTCACAAATAAGCTCTCAACGGTGTTCTGTCACCCAAAAAAGAAAAGTTAAAAGGGCGCCGAAATATACTCCGACGTGACCCCTCTAACGCTCAAGTCATTAATTGAGGAATGTTTTGAGAACATTGTTCTATTGCTTGGGGTATTATTTATATCTTCCAAGAATTGATTGAAGCGGACAACTGGGTCCTTTGGAAGGAAAAACACCTGGTTGGTTCATATAGGGGACAATATTTAGTGTGCAGATCTCGATTAGAGCGTTTGTTTCTCTTTGCACCAAGGGCTTCCGCAAATCTGCATTGGGGTCGCCGAGTACTTAATGCACACTTCTCGATTCTGCCGAGCAATGAATACATCTCATACTTCTATAGAATCATTTAATGCATCTTGGGCATGGCCATGCACGCGCAGGGACATTTTTGTCAATCCCCAATTCAAAGGGTCAATAATTAATTGTTTCATACACCGTACATCTCTATCATTAGTCATTGAATTACTTTTCTAATTATTCTAATTGTCTTAGAAAAGGGGACCAATTATTGAGCCATAATGCTCAGTAGTTGCTTTATCTCGATCATGGGTATGCTTGCCTTAGTCGATGCAGCTGATATGCCGAGAAAGGGACAGTGATATTGAGGAGGGATTTATGCCGAGGGTGATCCCCCTTGAAGCTGAGATAGTTTTGGATCCCTCGACGGCGAGGTAAGCCGAATACTCCAAGATGGAGTGCAATCTGTCGTGGTCCAGATGACATGTGTCACTTTCCCACTTGGTTATCAAAAATGTCTCATCACTATAGATACATTATTTTTTTTAGGAAGAATTACACTCAAATCCCCTAAGATTTGTCACTTAATCACTCATACCCTCTTACATTTGAAATATTACATACAGACTCCCTGAGGTTTATACGTGCACAACACTTAAACCCTTGCATCAAATGTCTGTTAATATATTGGTTAGTAACACTTAAACCCTTCAAATTTAAAATGTTATACTTAGACTATAAATACTCCAATCAAGTATAGAACATCAAATATTTTAAATTTTATAACAAAAATTCATGTTCTAATATATTATTTATTGAAATAAAATAAAAAATAAAAAGTCATTTTTTTCTTAAAAAATCGTAATTAGTATATGATTATACTATCTATTGAAATAAAACTAAAAATCAAACAAGGAGTATAAGTCGTTTATACTAGAACATAAATTTTATAACCAAAATTCAATAAAATTAAAATTAAAAATCTAATTTTTCTTAAAAAATCATAATTAGTATACAATTATACTATGTATTGTAATGAATACAATATATTCTACATTTAATTGGGGTAATTTAGTAATTTAATTTAGTCATTTAAACGACCAAATTAAATTCCAATAAATAGTATAATTGTATACTAATTATAATTTTTTAAGAAAATTTTTAATTTTATTTCAATAAATATTATAATAGAACATAAATTTTGGTTGTAAAATTTAAAATATTTGAATTTCTATCTTTGATTGAAGTATTCTTAGTCTAAATATAACATTTTAAACTTGAGAGGTTTAAATATTGCATGCCTACAAACTTTAGGAAGTTTAGATGTAATTTATTAATGAATATACTAACCGACATTGATGACAAGGGTCTAAGTGTTACGTGTGTACAAATTTCAAGAGATCTGTGTGTAATATTTTAGATATCAGGAGTCTAAATAATTAAATAATAAATTTTAATAAATCTGAATATAATTTTTCTTTTATTTTAATCCTCCCAAATTCCATCTGGGTGAGGATAATTACAGAACTATTCTCAACACTGCTAATGGGGACAATAGTCCCACGCTCCAACCCCTATGGGCCAAAATGTGTTGCCAACTTGCCATATTCCCCAAACTACGACACAATTCGCTCGTGCAACTCACGTGCCCTACTGGCATGTCTCACACACCCCACACTCACATGATGCCAAATTATTGCATACACCACCATCCATATGCACTCCAAATGCTTAAAACCACACCATAACGCCCCAGGCCCCATCTCTCTCTCCTCTCTCACTTTTCTTGCATTCTAAGCTCTCTTTGATCGATACACTCAATACATATATCTCACTAACGCAGACCTGACCTCGCTGTAAAGATGGCCTCCGTCTGCATATCAAATTCTGTCAACGACGCCCGGGCTCCGGTGAGAGCAACCTACGTAAACATTTACAAGTGGCCTGAATCCGACGCTGCCTTTGTGAGGTCAGTGAGCTCTAACAGCCGTCTGCAGGGGGGTGGTGGTGGTCGTGGTCACCCGACGGTGGTGGATAGCATCTCATGCAGACAGTTGTATTTGAGAAGCTATACGTTCTCTAGGAAAGAGAGTGTGCCTGAGAAGACCAAGAAATGTTTGGAAAGAATTAAGAAGACAGTGGTGGCGAGTAGGAGAAGAAGGAAACCTCATGACAGTGGTGGCGGTGGCGGTGGCGGTGGCGGAAAGAAATGTGTGGTGAGTAGGAGGGCTAAGCAGGTTTCTTGTGCAGCCTTGGCGTCGATCTTTCGGAGGTTGCTATCTTGCACTACCAAAATCGATGTGGTTGATTGAATGAATATTATCAGGATTTTTGTATTTTGATTGTGATTTTTATTTTTTTATTTTTTGTGCTTTTATTTATTTAAGTCTCACCTTTCCTATTCTATAGGCATAAATACCATGATTAACTGTGTATTGAATTTTAGGCATCACTTGATATATCTCTTCCTTTTCAGTTTCTTGATTAAGAATGTTTCATATACATAGAAACACACCTTTTATTTTTTTAACTGTGAAAGGTGATTGCGTCAACTAATGCGTATTTCGATTAATCTTCTTTCTGATTTGATAAAAGACAGATCATCAACGTCGGGATTAAAGTATTCATAAGGAATAAATTTCTCATAACCTGATTCCAAAAAATTACTAAAATTTGAATTGAAGACATCTGAATTTATAACTCGTCTCTATTATTGTTTCATCTGAAGTTCTATACATACAAACACTCATCCATGGATTCACACACACTTCTACAGGTAAATATTTAAGTGAATGAATGATGAATTTCTTGTAGTTTTAATAATGTGATGTTGGAAGAAAGATAGGTGAGCTGACAATCTTTGTTCTATATTTTGTATCAATAATCCTATTTTTGACTTAATTTTTTGATATAATTTATTAATTTCATCTATCACAATAATTTAATTAGTAACAAGTTTTAAAATATATTGGGGTTTGCTGTCAATCCAATGGTTATAATTTGATTAAATCAATAAATTAAATCTAAATAATATTTCCCATTTTGTTTTATGATTCCTAGCAAGAGAATTTATCAATGCCAAGTGTAACTTGTGTGGAAGTGTTATTGTACCAAAGTTTGTTTAATGCGTAAATGACTCCGTTATAATCTTGTATAGCCAAATTTTGTTCTGCGTATAAAGTCTACATAACTTTATTCATATCAATTTATTTGTTAAACGAATTTAGCTTGTTAATTTAGTCATGATCCGAAATTAATTAATGTTAAATTTGTATTTAATGATTTTATGCTATATAATATTTAATGGTATTATATCAATTTTGTATCATATTAACGTGATAAGAATTTCCGGCCTTATTGATGACACCTAGAAGATGCATGCACATTAAGAACTTAGATTGGATTAGATTAGATTTTGATTCATCCAGATTTTCTTTGACATTGCATCATCTGGCATTAGTGAACGGAGAGAAAGGGACCGTGTCAGAAAACTTCAAACTAACGAACCATTGTAGATATATGGTTAGGATTTTCAATACAATAACAAATCCATAGAAGACAATCATTGATTGGAATGTATAATATTTTATAAAATATATTATTTAGATTTAATTTTAGGATAGAATATAAGAATTTAATTCAATATAATCATTAGATTAAAAATAGGATCGGCTGAAAAACACTTGAGGCCCTAGGAAAAAAATTTAGATGGGCCCTAATTTTTTTTTAGATGCATAATTTATTTATTTTTGTTTTAAAATTTTAAATATTTAAATTTATATCTTTTAGTAGGTATATTTAAGATGTAAAATAACTTATAAAATAAAAAAATTGTGTAAATGATTATATTAAGATGAAAATTTACACAAATATTATAGTTCAAAAAAATAAAACTGAATAAATAGACCAAATTTATTAAAAATTTAGATAAAATGAGAGAATAAAGTATTGTAATTTTTTGTACAAGAATGTGGTTCGATCTTTTTTTTTTCCTTCTTTTTGAATGTATATATATATTTATGATTTAAAGAAAAATATTAATATTTTTTTTGATTGCAAGTTTCACGTAATATCCTAAATTTTTTACATTCTTTCTAATTTAATCATAGAATTTTGTGAGACATATGCATGTGAGACATATGCAAATGGGACCCTAGGTGAATGGGGCTTTAGGCGACCGTATACTTGCCTAGGGGTGGAGCTGGCCCAGATTAAAAGTAGGTTTCATTTAATATTAGAACTCATAACTAATTTCATGGTTATATTAAATTAGTTCTCTAATTAGGTCCTCAAATTAGGTACGACTCTCCCACAGGGATAGCACAATATGCACCTCTTAAGGTCGGGAATGATTCTGTATATCCAATTTTTTCTAAATATTTTTCAAATCATGTCTACTGAAATGCTTTTTTTTTTTAGACCATCAAGTAGGGTGGTCCAGTGGAATACTGACCAAACTTTTTATGCTGAGATTGGAGGTTGGAGTCTTGAAATTTATATTGGGGCTTGGTGTTTGATCGGTATGCTAGCTTAACTAGATTCATTTTCGAGAGAATTAACGGACATAGTCAGGGACCTCATAATCCCACCAATGAAAGTCTATCGGAGTGGTCTCTGGACCCTCTCTTTTATCCCACCCCTTTTTTACAAAGCAAAAAAAAGAAAAAAATGCCTTTTTTTTAGTCCAATTACGATCATATTACTCAAAGGTCTACGTGGGTATTTGTGTTAACTTTGTTAAATGGTTGCCAAAGGTTGAATATGTGACAAAATCGTGATTTACTGGAAAGTATCATATGGAGAGAGAGAGAGAGAGTGAGAGAGAGACAGACAGACAGAGACGTGAATAACTGGAAAGTATCGTTAATGAAAGAAGTAGGCCAAAAGCAAAGGAGTAAAAAGAATGGACCTAATCACAGAGATTAATTGTCAGCTCTAATATTGAATAGTTCAATAGCTGCAATGGATTATGTCTTTAGATTAAGTTTTTAAATTAGATCTCAATAGTACTTTTATATATAAAATTTAAAAAAATATTATTTAAACCTAATTTCAAGATCTAAATGAATTAAAACTCATAACTAACCCTAGTCACTCATAAATATCTTAATTCCGACGTGGATGACCTGTTTTTAACCGAACCGGATATGAAATTACTCAACATGTGCATAAACTCACCCGTACATCCCTGTTAAAAAAAAATCACATCTAACGACCATTGAATTATATATATATGCATGTTTTGGAACTTACAATGCAAGTTTGGTTGGGTTCATCGCCCTGATGTATGCATTTATCAAGCTTTTTCCTGGGCAGGTGGGGTATGAGTGCACTATATGTGACCATATAATGAGCACTTGGCACGCAACTAATCAACACCATCGTAGGGGACCATAGCACCGAATATATTTAACCATCAATTTCATTCACTAGCATTACCAATCCAGAAATATCTTGTTAACTATACTACCTCTCTCTCTCTCTCTCTCTCTCTCAACTTGACACGTCTATAACCACAATAAAGTTGATCGAATTCATTAAAGAAACTTTCCAAGAGTGAAGGTAATAGATTCTTTAGCATGGCTACTGAAATCATTAGAATTTTGTTAATGAGATGGCTCGTATTAACATGTTCTAAATTTTAAATGGTAAGTTTTCATGAGAATTTTGGGCTTATATATAAAAATAATGACTCAAAATGACAACTTAACTATTCCTTTTGAGTGAATTTTCGTAGTTATGATATATAATATCAGAACCGATCCGTGCACACGAACGACTGTGTGAGTTGGAGGGCATTGTTGTTGAAGGGAACTAAAGCACTAATAGAAGTCAAACTGGAGCAAGATCTTCTGAGAGTATTTTTAATGGACTCTTTATTTTCACTGAACTTTATATTTTACAAAATCAACTACCAAAAATCAAGTTCTAATAGACTTTGATCTATTTAAACTAGTTAAAATAGATAGCCTTATTTGATTCTCTATATTTGAAGAACCCAACTCACTCTCTATTATAATTTTAATGAATGAAACAATAACACATACATTATTCATTAAATGTTTTTGACTATAAGACTAATTTTCTTCTAGAATAGAGTCTATTAAAGTTGTTTAAAATATTTCACATTTTATTTCAAAATAAATTCTCTCTGAAATAAAAAGAAATGCTATTGAAAATGCTCTGAATTTGGCAATTGAAGTAACAAAGTCAAGCTTTTGCTAGAGGACGAGTCTTCTGCTACAATTCAAATAATGCAAAACCCAAGCGTAGGCTGTCGCAAATAATAATAAATTTAAGAAATCCGAGATCGATCCTCAAGAAATGGTGAAAACGTGAAATGCAAGAAAAATAAAAGAAAATTGTTTCACAAATTGTTTGAGAAAATTGTTTGTTTAAACGAACAGAGATTGATTAATTAAGGCATTAATTGAAATACTAAAGTATCATGAATACTCTTTCAATTTCACACAACAACTATTAATAATCTAGTTTTCGAACTCAATTGGGAATCAACTGAAGAGCGTTTCTAATCAGAATATTTAGCGGTGATAATATGAAAACAGTAAAAGTTATAATAAATGAATTATTTGAATAAATATAGGAATTTACTTATAGATCACAAATATTCATTGTGTCCGGAGTTTATAATAAATCAAGTTTTTCAATAGATAAATTCTATTTTATTGCAAATAATAAATCAACTATCTTATGAGAAATTCTAATTAATTAATTCAAACATAAAATACAACAATGATAAAAACACCCACAAAAGTGATAAATCACTCACAAAAATGATAAATTTTTTAGTTGTAAAATAACTTTAAAAACTTGTAAAAACACTTTTTAAAAGTAATAAATTTTAGAGATATGATATCAAATTTTTTTTCCCAATAAATTGGTTAAGTCCATACTAAGGACTTTAACTTTGATAAAAGAGATGATTCCTTTGAATGACAATTTCCTACATCCAGTTGGAACTGTGAGGAACAAAGGCCCATTTGCATAGATAACAAGGAAATTGCCCAATCCCCCAAGTCTAACAAAGAGGTACCACCAACTTGATCTGGTAGCATGAGGCTAAGGCCCCCGTATGGAGGCCAGGCATGCCCAACAATGCTAATCATTTAAAGTGCAAAAGCCAGGCAATAGCTGGCTTGTAATCAATCTTGAACCCTTCCAATATTTGATTTACTTTTTTTTTTGGCAATTATTCCAATGTTTGACCCAATGGGTTCTATTTTAGTTGATATCAGAATCTTATCTCAAGAGTTCCATTGTTTTAATCTTTCTATTATTCGACGGTCGATGAATTTTGTCACACCAATTAGCGAGAAATATTATGTTTTTAGACAATATCGTTGTGTGAGGGAATAGTGTAGTTGAATTCTTAGTGCCTCTTCTTCTTTCGATATTTGT